AGGTCTATTTCTGCCCTAGACATGATGGCAGGTTCAGTTGTTTGTCTAGTAAGATGGTCTTATGAGACCAAGAATGCTGCAGAGGAGGCTGCTATAAAAGTGAGTCAGGACATTGGAGAGATGTGGCTGAGATTGGTGCAGGGACTGAGGGCATTGTGTTTGGACCAGAGGGAAGAGGTGAGGAACCATGCTATTTTAATGTTACAGAGGTCTTTGGCAGGGGTAGATGGAATTCACCTTCCTAATGCTATGTGGTTCCAATGTTTTGATCTTGTGATCTTTACATTACTGGATGATTTGCTAGAAATTGCTGAGGGGAGCTCCTCTAAAGAATACCGGAAGATGGAGGGTACACTTGTTTTAGCCACAAAGCTAATGTCAAAAGCTTTCTTACAGTCACTTCAGGATCTGTCACAGCAACCATCCTTTTGCAAACTATGGCTAGGGGTTCTCAATCATATGGAAAGATATATGAAGGTTAAGTTCCGGGGAAAGCGTAGTGAAAAAATTCATGAATTAGTCCCAGAGCTTCTCAAGAACACCCTGCTGGTGATGAAAACAACAGGTATTCTCATGCCTAGTGATGATATTGGTGGAGATAGTTTTTGGCAATTGACATGGCTGCATGTGAAGAATATAGTCCCATCTTTGCAATCTGAAGTGTTCTCAGAACAAGAATTGGAGCAGATGCAAGCAAAACACAAAAATAAAGCAGAAATTCCTGATACGGAAGGGGTGGTGCTTGTTCCTTCAAAGGAGACCGCAGCATGAAGGTGCGCTTCTAATTGGAAATCGCCAGAGCATGATGTGTTTTAAGATGATGTAAATGGCATTCATACGCTGCACTATACATGTTCTGCATTGCAAATCCTCAGAATCCAGAACTAAAGCCATAGAAAGGAAAGTAAACATCGGAATTGAAGTTTCATAACTTGGTTTTGGGATGTCAGCTTCATTTTTCCACTCCCTGAACTTTCAAGGAGTGTTGTTGGGAAGTGTGTGTGTAGAGTCCATTTATTCCACAAAGGGATCAGAGTAAATCCCTGCATAATTTTTGTATTGGCAGATAAGATCTCTTTACCTGAAACCAATTCCTCTGTATACTTATACCCCTGCTATACAGTGTTTTGTTCATCTGCAGTTTTGGGAACTTCTTGCAGAGTTATTTGTATTCTAGAGAATGAGAAATGAAGTCTTTGAAAACTTTTTACTCCTTCCTTTCCATTTTTATGCCTTTTCTTTTGTGGAAAAGGTAATTGTTTTCCTTTTGGCAACTTGCATTGAATTGCTAAGGAATCAACAACAAATTCTTGCATACAAATAGAATATTCTACACAACTATGAAATTCATATGCAACTGAAGTTTACTATGAACAATCAGACTAGACCCTAACAGGATAAGATCAGCTGGATGAAGTCTGAGTTTTTTGCTTTTTCCATATTTAGTGTTCCAAACTTAATTACAACATACCTTATCTAATTACTGTTCGTCAAAGTCAGAGATTTTCCGTTTCTGTTCATTTATTTTTATCTTATTTGTGATAATAAATATTCCTATGATTTTATAGACAAGTAAAACTAAAAGGTAATTACATTTAACCACGAAGAAAATCAATTCAGATCGTCTAAATAAAGACATGTGGCATAAATTTACTGGCCAATGGATTGGTTACTATAAGAACGCTTATAAGGAATAAACACCTCGCTAACACCGAAAATGCCCCGCTTCCACTGATCAGAGCAAACACTAATTATACCAGGAGCTGTACAGGAAAAGCAAACCCAACGCCCATAAGACCACGAGTTTATACACGTGTCAATCACAGATCTCGAAACTCCAAAAAGCAATCACTCTAACCACGTGCCTTTATCATCAACCCCCTTTCCCCCCCACCCATAAAATGATAACAATAAAAAAACAAAAGCGCTGTCGTTTGGTCGCCTCCTTTCTTAAAAGGAAAGGAAAATTTCCAAAACCCACCGAGCCACGATCGTAGCCATCTCAGGTTCTCTCTCTCTCGCTCTCTCTCTCTCTCGCTCTCTCTCTCGCTCTCTAACTTTTTTTAATTCTATTTAAAGAAATAATAATTTTTGATCAAAGTTTGAGCTGATTTTGAATTTTAATTTCCTGTTTTGCAGTTATATTGTAAATAGAATTATTTTTCGAAAAAAAAAGAGAAATAAAAAAAAATGAGTGAAGTTTTCGAGGGATATGAACGGCAGTACTGCGAGCTATCGGCGAATCTTTCCAAGAAGTGTACGGCAGCTGGTGCTCTCGATGGAGGTTATAATTCAATCCTTATTAAATAAAAAACTCGTTTTTTTAAAAAATTTTTTCGTTAATTTTGCTTATCTCTTTGCTCCTAATTACGGATAAGTGATGGATTAATCGGTGTTTTCTTTCTAACTTAGCGTGATTAAGGATGCGGAGGCTATTTTCTGCTAATTTTGTTGGATTTATGCTGATTATAAATTAGAATTACATTTTTTTTTTCAAAAAAGTTAGGTTGCTTAATTGGGGGATATGAATAGAAGAAAAGAAGATCCGATCCTCTTTTTCCCTCCTTTAGTTTTTAAATTTTTAATTTTAATCTAATTTGATTAATAATCATGGTTTCACCTCCTTGCGCATTTTCATCTTGATATTCTGTTTTTTATACAGGTTTGTGGTTTGTGGAATTCTCTTTGCAGGCATTAATGTAGATTAGGGGAGAAAATTACACTTCTGCCACGTAGTTTTGGAACTTTGAGTTATATATATCAACGGGAAGAATTGGAAATGCTCTGAATATTAAGCAATAAACTAGAACCTGTTAAAGTAATTTCGAAGTATGAAGTAGAATGTATGTTGAAATTGGAATTAGTTTGCAGTTATTTAACTTACTACTAATATATTAAACTACTATGAATCCAAGTTTTGGAATTAATTTGGATAGTTCAATCATATTTTAATGTGCAATGACAAGCTTTAAGAGGACTTTGATTTTGTTCGTTGCTTAGAATCTTTCAATGAATGTATTGTTAATTGCATGTATCATGTGAATCTCTGAATTAGTGAAGGGAAGCGGTTAGAAAAGAGTTTGACAGGTGGACGATTAAGATCTAAAAAGAAAAAAGGAAAAGTTGGAATTCAAATCAGCTGTCACTTGATAAGTTTTGGCCTTGTAAATAATGGCATCGAGCTGATATGGCTTAGAGTACCCCATTTAAGGGAAAGAAGATTAAATGTGTGTCTACTTGGGAATAAAGATTCCAATTAACTCCTTTTTAAGAAAAAAACTTGTGTGTGGTTTACCTTTGCATCTACTGTGTAAAATAGTGAGTCGGACAAGGAAAGTGACATTAAAAAGTTTAGTAGACAGGAGATTAAGATATATAAATCAGAATAATATGTGTTTCCTTTTGTTGAATAAATTGGTCAGTTCATTTTTAATTGGTCAGCAGGTTGATAAGAAATGTTATCAATTTGTTCGAGCATCAGCCTATCTACTGAGCCAATTGTTCTTGCTCAAATTCTTAATTGTTTTTGTAATTTGCAGAGCAGAAGAAACAAAAACTTTCTGATATAAGGGCTGGATTGGAAGGTGCAGAAACTCTGGTATCTAGTTCATTGCATGTTTTGGATGCTCCGTTTTAGTCTTTCCTTCTTTTGGGTACTAAACTTGATGCTGCTCTTTTCTTTTCTCAGATTCGGAAAATGGACCTTGAGGCAAGAAGTTTGCAGCCAAATGTTAAGGCTGTGCTTCTTGCTAAGTTAAGGGAATATAAATCAGATCTTAACAATCTGAAAAGTGAAGTTAAAAGAATTGCATCTGGTAATTTAAATTCAGCTGCTCGAGATGAGTTGTTAGAGTCTGGAATGGCTGATGCCCTAACGGTATGTTTTGGTGGTTCTACTTCCTTTTAACATGTGGCAGTTCTATCGCTGGTCTGCTTTCTTTCCATTTAACTTTTGATTACTTGTAATTGATGAATATGTAATAGGCATCAGCTGATCAAAGATCAAGATTAATGATGACTACAGAGCGGTTGAATCAAAGCAGTGATAGAATTAAGGACAGCAGAAGAACCATGCTGGAAACAGAAGAGCTTGGTGTTTCAATTCTTCAGGATCTGCACTCACAGCGACAGGCCCTCTTACATGCCGATAACACGGTACCTATTTTTTCCACTGAGGTTTTCTACTCTGTTTATGGCTCATGACCTCCAATTCTCTACCACAACCAGTAGGCTCTTTTTGGCTTTATTTTTATCATATTTCAGTTGTAATTTCATTCAAGCTCTATTCAACAACTCCTTAAAGTTGCATGAGCACACATTTTTGAAAGTTTATATGATGGTTCAACTTTAAATTTTCTCACGTTAAGCTGTAATGGATGATTGTAAACCGTTTGGACTATCTATTTAAGTCTGGGTTTCCATTCGATTGCAGCTCCATGGAGTGGATGACAACATTGGCAAGAGTAAGAGAATTTTGACAAATATGTCAAGGAGGATCAGCAGGAACAAGTGGATCATTGGCATCATAATTGCCGTCCTTATCCTTGCTATCGCCCTTATTCTGTACTTCAAACTTGCTAAATAGTCAACATTTGTATCTTCCCCGCTTCGTTTGGTCGTGGTTTTTGGGTGTGTTTGAGAAACATAATTTTGTTTGGTCCTAGCGAGCTTGCCCATGTTGAGTGCCGATATAAATGTATGCTTCATTGATCCAAAGACTTTGTATTTATTAATCATTTCAATCCTATGGGTTGTCTTTTAAGGAAATAGTTTGATTATCTTTATGTTCTCTGTCCATTCCATTGTTCTAAGCATCTTGCACTTTGCCTTTGAAAATTTCACTCGGGAAGATAGTTTCCTATTTTGCAGCTTAGTCAAAGTCAATCAAAATCCTATACATATGCACACGCCCCTTTTCTGTTCATTGTTGCCAAGAAATTTAAGGTAGATGAAATGGCCAATTCTCCAAGCCTTCCCTTCCTTCTCTCCACGCTACCTCCGTCCCTTTCTTCGCTTATGTGCCCGACAATCTGCCCTCAGCATTGGGAAAAAACTGCATGCCTTGGTCCTCACTACTGGCGTCTACCGAATCCGAA